TTTGGCATGCACGCATATGTGCCCGGCGTGAGTTTTAAGCCACCGGGTCCGGGGCTTGAACCACGGTTGACTACATGGGAGTCCAGCGACATAGCCATTACATCAACTGCTGCTCCACATTTTTTCATTCTTTTGGTGGACACATTTTGCTTTATTTTACTTTTGCTTGCCTATTTTTTTTTTTTGTGTAGAGAGATTTTTGCTATAGGATGCATGTGCTATGTGAGACAGAGACCGAGAGACAGACAGAAAGAAAGAAATCATCCCCCAGGGGAGCTGGTCATGCTGCAGTCCCTTCTCCTCCATTCTCCTCTCAGGATTTAGAGAACACATGCACACATGCTAGTGTAATTTTCAAGGCTCCAGGTCTGGGACTTGCACCACAGTCAGCCATGTGGGAGTCCAGAAACATAACCGTTACGTCATCTGCTGATCCCTACTTTTGTTTACTTTATCCAAATGGTATTTGCCAGCACATTATATGGCAGCTAATTGTGCATTCTTTTTTTATTTTTTTAAAGCTTACAAAGCTACCCAACATTATTAGTTATTAGGGAAATACCAATCAAAACCATAGTAAGATACCTCTTTGCACCCACTAGGATGGCTATAATAAGACAGTAACAAGCACTGGGGAGTGTGGAGCTCATATATTGCTGGTAAGAATATTAAATAATGTAGCTGCCTTAGAAAACAGTTGGATAGTTCCTCAAACATTGAAGCATAGAGTTACCAGCTATTCTACTCATAGGTGTAATACCCAAGGGAACTGAAAACATACCCACAAAAAAATTTGTCCAAGTATGTTCATAGCAGCATTATTAAAAATCGTCAGAAACTAGATACAATGCAGATGTCCATCAGCTGATGAATGGGTAAACAAAATGCTGGTATATTCATACAATGAACTATTATTTGACAGTGAGAAGGAATGAAGCCCTGATATGCTATGATGGTTGAACTTCGCAAACATTGTGCTAGTGAAGTAAAGCAGACACAGAAGGCCACATGTTGTGTGATATCATTGATATGAAATGTCCAGAACATGCCAATCCAGAAAGATAAAAAGATTCATTGTTGCCAGGGGATGGAAGGGGTTGTGTGGGGAGTGACTGCTTATTCATACAAGTTTTCATTTCAGGGGGATTAAATGCTCTGGAATTAGATAATGATGATAATTGTACAACTTTGTGAATATACAGAAAACCACTGAGTTATACACTTTAAAAGAGTGAATTTTATGGTACATTAATTATACCTTACTTTAAAAAGTACAATAAGCAAAACTTGCAAAGCAACTTTGGTAAGAATGCTCTGTATTATTGATATATATTAGGTTTCAACCCTTCCGAGACCAAGATTCGAACACCTGACGGGAAAGTGTGGCAGGAGGCTGAGTTTCAAAACATGAGTAGAGAACTGTATCGAGACTTAGCACTTCACTTTGCAGGTGAGAGTAGAGCTTTCTTATGTTTTGAGAATTTTATCATGCATGCCATCTGATTTATTAACTTTAAACATAAAAGTGTCTTAAAGGTATTTCTATTTTCTAACTGAGGTAAAATAAAGTAGCGGTGGTCCGAGTCGGTTAGCCTCGAGGCTCCGCCCCAGGGTTAGAATTAGCCTATGTGGCTGGTGAGACAGAGACAGAGACGAGGTTATTTTAAACTAAAGGTCTTTTGGAGTCAGGCCTGCCTGACTTGGTGGAAACAGCAGACTCTAGTTGAAGTTTACATCTGCTAGAGATCTTTGAAATGGTCAGTAATTTGGCAGATAAGGAGTAAGTACATGAGAGCAAGGTACAGAAAGAAAAATAAGCATTGTAGGTTGGGAATAATGTTAGAAACTTGGAAATGAGACAAGCCCGTGGAAAAGAGGGAAATATAAAGCTTATACTTACAATCTTACTAGAGCTTAAGTATCCCTTACTCAAAATGCTTAAGACCAGAAAGAAGTGTTTCGAATTTTGTATTTTTTTTTTCACTTTTGGAATATTTCCATATACATAATGCAGTATCTTGAGGATGGGACCCAGTCATAAACATGAAATTAATTTATGTTTCATATATACTTTATACAGATAACCTGAAAGTAATTTTATATAGTATTTTTATATTGCAGTGTTTTGACTCTGATTCAAGATAAGATAAAGAATTTTCTACTTTCGGTGTCTTGTTGGTACTTTAAAAGTTTGGGATTAAAGCATTTTGGATATTGGATTTCCAGATTAGGGATGCTTAATTTATGCCTATTGAATACTTAGTTTGATTTTGGACAAGATGTTAGGTGCTTCAGTATTTTTTTTAAAGTGGGGGTACATGCACTCCACCAAAGTTAGAGAGAGGGAGAGAAGAAAGCACCTTTCATATGGAGAATGGTCACGCCACAGTCCCTTCTCCATCTCCTTCTCTTGGGATTTTGGGCATGCAAACATGTGCCTGATGTCTTTTTTTTTTTTTTTTTGAGAGATTTTCACTGTAGGGCGCTTGTGCTCGCCAGACAGACAGAGACATAGAGACAGAAAGCGAGAAATCACCCCCCAGGGGGGATGGCCACGCCGCAATCCCTTCTCCATTCTCCTCTCGGGATCTTGGGCACGCACGCACACGCGCCCGGCGTGAGTTTAAGCCACCGGGTCCGGGACACGAATCGCGGTCGACTACGTGGGAATCCAGCAACATAGCCATTATGCTAACTGCTGGTTCCCTGCCTGATGTCTTTTTCAAGCTATCAGATCCAGGACTTGAATGGTGTCATCTGGGATCTCTCTGCCTTAACCACCAAGCCATGGAGCTGGCCCACATCTGTACTTTTTATAGTTGTAGAAATGGAGGTGTAAAGAATGATTTTCCCAGGATTGCATAAAATTAGTTAAGAATTGAAGCCAACTAAACTAACTCTCTTTGATTTTTAAAGCCTAAGGTCTTTCTATTAAGTTCCCACAAAGTATTAACTGTCTAGTTTTCTTGTAGTTACTATTAGAATGCTGTAGTCAACAGTTTTTTTCCTCATATGGGGAGGAATTATAATGTAATAGTTAAGAACAAAGATTGTGTTGGGACCAGCAGATGGCATAATGGTTATGTCGCTGGACTCCCACATGGCTGACCATGGTTCAAGTCTTGGATCTGGTGGCTTGAAACTCATGCCCGGTGCATGTATGTTCACAAAATCCTGAGAGGAGAATGGAGGAGAAGGGATTGCAGTGTGGCCATCCCCCTGGGGGTGATTGCTCCCTTTCTGTCTGTCTCTGTCTGTCCAACAAGCACATGCGCCCTACAGATCATCTTAATCTTTCAGCAGCTTTTGGCATGATTCATCTTCCTTTGAAACCATTCACTTGATACCTAGGATACCATAAGTATCCAGTTTTCCTCCCTAGTCTAGCTGCTCCTTTTTAGTTGTTTTTTTGTCCTAATTAACTCCCTGATCTATAAGTAGAGAGTCCTTAGTACTCACTACTTGGGTTCTCTTTCTTTCTCTTTCTTTCCCTCTTCCCACTCCTCCATCTACTTACTCTCTCTTCTTCCTTTTTCTTTGTATTTACCTACACACACACACACACACACACACACGGTAAACTCACTTAATTTTAGGACTTTAAGTCTCTGATGATTCTCAAATTTAGGTCTCTAGCCCAGACTTTCCCTCTGAACTCAGGCTCTCCAGATCTGCCCCTGGAAGTATGTATAGTAGGTTTCTTAACCTCCATCCAAAATGGAGCAAGCTAACCCTAACTAGAATCATGATACACTCTTTAAACTTGCTATTCTGGTGGTCTCTCTATGTCGGTTAGACCTAATGATTTAGGTCCAAAATCTTGAGTCGTCCTTGACCTCCTCCTTCCTATTTTTCTTATACCTTATATCTAATGAAAGATAGATCTAAAATAAAACAGATTTCACTAGCTCCATCGCTGACCACCTAAATCCCAGCCCCTCTCAGGTTCTCTTCTGGATTCCTGCAGTAGTTTCCTAGCTGGTCTCCCTTCTTCTAACCAGTCTATTCTCAGTACAACTGTAGAGTAAACTTGTTCAAATTTAATTCAGATCATGTCACTTTTTTGCTCAGAATCTTTCAAAAATATACTATCTCTCTAGTAAACCTGAAGTTCTTACAGTGGCTTTTAAAGCCCTGTGTGGCTTGGCTCTCAGTTAGATCTGTGGCCCTAGTCCTTCTACTTTTCCGTTACTCCATCGCGTGGGTCACCTTGCTGTTTCTTAGACACTGTGGGTGTGCCTCATTCTCGGGTCTTTTACTCATACTTACGTCTCTCCACTTGGCATGCAGAGCTCTACGTGTATTTTTAAAGTTCATTTACTCAGATCTGTAATTGAGGTTCATTTTTTGAATTTATATGTTTAGTCAGTATATTCCCCAGTATGGGATTTATTTAAAAACTTAGTGAACAGTGATTGATGTGTGAAATACTTTGACATATTTCACTAGCATAATCCCAAAAGGGCCTAGTTTTTTTTTTATGAATAATTTTTAAAAATTTAACTTTAGGGACCAGCAGTTAGTGTAATGGCAATGTCGCTGGACTCCCATGTAGTTGACCGCGGTTCGCGTCCCATACCCGGTGGCTTAAAACTCACGCCGGGCGCGCGTGTGTGTGTGCCCATCCCCTCTGGGGGGTGATTTCTCGCTTTCTGTCTCTCTGTCTGTCTCTGTCTGGCGAGCACACGCGCCCTATAGCAAAAAACCTCTCAAAATTTTGTTTTAACTTTATTTATTTATTTATTTTACTCATTTCAATTTGACCTGAGACAGAAGGGGGGGAGAGAGAGAGTAAGAAAGGAAATTTCCAGGTCCAGGACTCGAACTACAGTCAACCATATAGGAGTCCAGCGCCTTTAACCACCACGGCACCTGTTAGCCCAAAAGGGCCTAATTTAAGAATGCTGTATTGAGTATTTTATGAAGTTTTTATATAGAAATTTTTTAAGAGACATTTTTACGTGTGCTCACCAGAGAGACCGAGACAGACAGATAGAAAGCGAGAAATCACCCCCCAGCAGAGATGGCCATGCCTCAGTTCTTTCTCCTTCATTCTCTTTTTGGGATTTTGGGCACATACCCCCATGGGCCCAGTGTGAGTTTTAAGCCGCTGGCTCCTGGACTCAAACTGTGGTCAACTACATGAGAGTCCAGCGATGTAACCATTACCCCATCTTCTGGTTCCTCTATAGAAATTTTTAAATAAAAAAGAAATCTGAACATATTCATGTCTAAGAGTTGTGATTCTGGCTTGGAAAACTTACTGTTGCAGCTTCCTCCCATGAGTTTCTCAGGGGTTTCCTAAAAAACAAACAAACCCCTAATAGCAAAGAATTGGAACCTAACTGTGGAGTTGTGGTAATCCTTAAACCTTTCTGCAAGAGGAATTGACATTGGTAGCATAGGGGTCACATATATAGCCTCAGCAGAGATCTCCTTCCCCTACTTGAATCGTACACTTTACCCTGATGTTTTTCTACTGGGGCAGGTTGAATGGGTATGTTGGACTCATTATAATACTTGCTTTTTAGATGATATTGCTATAAAAGAGAAACCTGTTGAAAAAAGTAAAGAGAAGAAAGTGGTAAAGCCAGTACGGAAAATCCAAAAGGTAGCACAATTGTCAAGTCCAGAATGCAAAACAGGTTAGTTTTTTCAATGTTGTGTCCTTTATAAAGTTACATATCACTGAAACGGAATCCACATGGATATGCCTTTCTACTACCGAATGGTCTCATTGTTTGGGACATAAAAATTCAGTACATTTTATGTGTTACTATTTTTTCATGTGTGTTTTATTAAGTTATAGTCAACAGAATGAACTGAACGTATTTAGAATGTACAATTTAGTAAAAAAATTTTATGTATGTACACATCCATGAAAGCATTTGTTTACCAGAAATTCATCAGGATATCTAACTCCAAAAGTTTTTTTTCTATCATTATTTTTAATAGAAATTAACCATATTAAAGGTAATGATTTTGTGGAGGGAACTTTTTGAAAAATGTATTCATTTTATTTATTATTGTAAGTTGGTTTGAGGATTGTGGGTTATCGTTAAGCTGATTAACATTGTTAAATTGATTATTACTACTACTATTGTTTAAGCTTTTGCTATAGGGCATGTGTGCTTATTAGAGTGAAAGAGAAGGAAAGTGAGAAAGCAAGGTCTGGGACTTGAACTGTGGTCGGCCATGTGGGAGTCCAGCGCCTTAGCTACCATGCCGCCTGCTGGCCCCTATGTAGTGAACTTTTTACACATGGGAGTTTGTTTGTAACTGTCACTGAGTTCCTTCCCTTATTCTCGTAAGTGAATAAATGTCGCACATCAGTCCTTGCTATAGTTCTAAAGACTGGAAGGAAGGCAGTTCTCAAGTTGCAGAGTGATGAACATTTCAGCCTCCGTCCGGATTGTCTAGATGTTCCTGTGGTGACTGACTTAATTTTAATATGCCTCAGTACTGGAAGGAAGGCAGTTCTCAAGTTCCAGAGTGATGAACATTTCAGCCTCCGTCCGGATTGTCTAGATGGACCAGCTTTGTTCCTGTGGTGACTGACTTAATTTTACTGTGCCTCAGTTTTCCCAAATGTAAAATGAGGAAGCAGTAGCATTTACCTTACGAGATTGTTGTAAGAACTAAAAAAGTCAGTACTTTAAAATACTAAGTATATTAATACCTGGCACATGATAGGTACTCAGATGTTAGCTGTGACTCCCCTTATAACAGTAATTATTATTTCTGCCAGTACCGAAAATGGCTATTTAGTATGTCATGTTCATGTCAGTGAGTCTTTGGACTGAGAGGCAGTGGAGAACCTTGGGAACTTGTCACTTTCAGTTTGGAGATATTCCGAACTCGTGAATTCACTGTGTGAATATTTTTGACCTCTTGCTATATGCTAGCAACTATGCTCTAGGCAAAACAGTGGTAATACTGTTGTCTGAAACAGTGTGAAATGAGGCACAGGGACCACTTATAACCTGTGAACACTGGCCTTGGATTGTCTTTACCCAGTTTTGTGGTAGGCTAACTGCCATGCGTGCACTGTGGCAGTGACCCCGACAGTCTCACTGCATGTGCTAAAGCTATATTAATACTTTATCTAGTGAAAGTCCTCTTTTTCTACCAATGACTGTATGAAACTATTCCAGAAAGCCATAATTTAGAAGTATAACCACCCAGCATGTTCAGAAGCCAACATTTATAATTAATTACCTAGTGAATTCATGGTTGCTTGTGTTTGATTCAGAAAATTGAGCTGAAATTGAAGAGAAGCCTGTTCTCTCATTTTACCTCAGGACATAACGTTTCTTATAAATAGATTGGGCAATAGACTTAAAATCCTTTAAATATTTTAGGTAGGTTGTATAAGGTTAAAGTACAAAAGTGTTTCTTTTTTCTTTTTTAAAGATTTATTTATTTTAAATTTTATTTGTTGTTATTCTTCCATTTTGACCAGAGAGTGACAGACAGAGAGAAAGGGAGAGTGAGAAAGCAAGCCATCAGGTCCTGGACTCGAACTGTGTTTGGTCATGTGGGAGCCCATCGCCTTACCTACCACGCCACCTGCCAGTCTCAGTGCAAAACCATGTCTAAAGTAAACAATACACATTTATAATTGACCTTATAATCAATGTTTTCATTAAAAGTATACTTCCTTAAACTTTTAAATTAAAGCCCTCCTTTTTTTAAAAAAAGAAACTCTAAATAGAATATATCTTATTATAAATAAATAGAATCACAGCTAGAAAAATAGAAGAAAATAGGAACAGTTACCACCTGACTTAAGTAAAGTATTAGTATACCTTGTGTATTTGTTTACTTTACCTTAAAAAGCATAATAGTATATGGTTGTAATCTTTGTATATATACGTTTTTTGTATATGTAAAATTTTGTAATTTTCTCTTAGCTTTCTTTTTTCAAAATATTTCTTTTGTTTCTTATGGAAATGGTCATTTGTAATGGCCATGTAATATTTTATTCTAGTAGAAATATAAAAACGAGTCACCATTCTTCAATATTTAGAGTACCTCTGCTATTAAAAAATGATATAGCCAATATTTGCTTTTTAAATTTCTTTTGGATTATTTCTGTTAGTTGGATACTAACAAGGGGAATAAGCACTTTTGGGGTCCCTGATACACAAAACTATTTGTTTTGGCCATAGGGCACTTTATGCTTGCCAGAGAGAGAGAGAGAGAGAGAGAGAGAGAGAGGAAAATGAGAAATCATCATGGGAGGATGGCTGCACTGCATTCTCTTCTCCATTCTCCTCTCAGGATTTTGGGCATGCACGTCTACACACCTTGGTGATTTTCAGGCTATTGGGTCTGGGATTCAAACTGTGGTAGGCCAGGTGGGAGTCCATCACTTTAACCACCATGTCACTGTCCTTTGTTTTATATTTAAAAAAAAAAAAATCATCAGAGGGCGCCATGCACTCGCCAGAGAGTTGGAGAGGAAGAGAGGGAGAAAGCGCCCCCCATAGGAGAAGTTAACGCTGCAATCCCTTCTTTATCTCTCCATCCTATGGAGATTTTGGGCACACGTGTCCAGCATGTTTCTTAGGCTGCTGTGTCAGGACTCAAACTGTGGGTCCAGCCATGTTAGATTCAGCTGCCACTTGAGAGACAAGGAGGGAGAAAGTGAGAAATCACCCCTCAGGGGGAATTGCCATACCACAGTTCCTTCTCCTCCATTTTCCTCTCGAGATTTTGGGTACGCATGCACACACCTCTGGCGTCAGTTTCAAGCCACCAGGTCTGGGACTCGAACCATGGTCAGCCATGCGGGAGTCCAGCTCCTCAACCAGTACACCACCTGCTGGCTCCGTGTGTTATATTTTTTAACATCTGCTTTGCTACAGAGAGAGAATAGAGAAAGAGAGACAGATAGGCATCACCCACAGGGTCCTCATCCAGTGTTCGCCGGCCTGGATCACAGGCATCCTGTGTGCCAGCGCACTCTGGGACAGCCTAGGTCACACACACAGGACCTTTGCCTTGTAGTCCAGTTGTGTTACCACTGTGCTATCACCTGATCCCTTCTGTTGTTTTGTACTGTTTTTTAAAGAAATTATACCTGCTTCTAGTTCATAAGCAACATGTTAGTAGGATGATTTTAATTTTACCTATCTAACTTTTCTTCTAAATTAATTAGGTTTAATGTGCTATTTTATGATTTTCATTGTTATTCCATTTGGTGCATTACATTACATTTAATGTAATTAATTAAGTGCATTGCATGCACTTTTGCATGTCTATTCTATATTTTTTTTTAAATATATTTTTAAGGATTATTTATTGTGACCAGCAGATGGCATAATGGTTACATCCTTGAACTCTGACGTAGTTGACAGCGGTTTGAATCCTGGACCCGGCAGCTTAAAACTCATAATGGGTGTGTTTGCATGAGTACTCAAAATCCTAAGGGGAAAATGGAAGAGAATGGGTTGTGGCATGGGCATCCCCCCTGGGGGTGTGATTTCTTGTTTTCTGTCTCTCCAGTGAGTGTATGCACTCTGTAGCAAAAATCTCTCTCAGGGACCAACAGATGGCATAATGGTTATGTCACCAGACTCCCATGTAGTCAACCATAGTTTGAGTCCTGGACCTGGCGGCTTCTAACTTGTGCCGGGCACGTGTGTGTACATGCCCAAGATCCTGAGAGGAGAATGGAAGAGAAGGGATTGTGTGGTGTGGCCATCCCCTCTGGGGGGGTGTGATTTCTCGCTTTCTGTCTCTCTGTCTCTATTTGTGCCCTATAGCAAAAATCTATCTTAAAAAAAAACTCTCAGAAAAAAAAGAATTATTTTATTTATTATTATGACTATTAATTTGCTATTAGGCACATGCACACAACAAAGAGAGAGAAAACGTGAGAAAGGAAGCTATCAGGTGTGGGACGTGAATTGTGGTCAACCATGTGGGGGTACAGCGCCTTAATCTCTGTCTCCTGTCAGTCTCCCACATTTATTTTTTATAGTTCTTTGTTTTTTTTTTTTTTTTGATCTCTCTCTCCAACATTAAATGTAGCAAAATTAACAACAGCAAAATTTACAAGTATAGCATTCTGTCTCTCTGTCTCTCTAGCCAGCGCATGCACCCTATAGCAAAAACCTCTCAAAACAAAACAAAACAAAAAATTTTTATGAGGCTAAAAAACCTGTTAACTTTGAAAGCCCTAGCAAAATATCACTCGTTCGTAAGTCACTATTTATCTCATGACCATGTGCTGGCATTGAATCCTCTTCTTTCCATATATCGAAGAATCCTACCTCACTCATTTCTTTCTTTCTTCCTCTAAGCATTCTGCATTTCTTTGCTAATCTTGTAGCTGAGTATCTTGTTCCAGTTGATTTTGGTGTGGGTAACTGGAAGGGGCCAGTGCAATGCCTTGGATGTGGTATCAGACATTGTTTGATAGTTTTCTTTTTTTTTTTTAATAATTACTCATTTAATTTTATTTATTCATTCCTTTAAGATAAATTAAATTGATTAAAAATAAATTAAATAAATAAATACAAGAATGAATACACACAGAGAGAGAGAGACAGAGAGAGAGAGAAAGTGAGAAAGCAAGCCACCAGGCCCAAGTATTGAACCATGGTTGGCCACATGGGAGTGTCCAGCACCTTAACCACCATGCCACCTGCTGGTCCCCAATAGTTTTCACTAATTGCTGTCTGCTACTTATTTTTTGCATTCTCTATGATTTTAATAAATTCTTTGGCAGTTGGGACTTCATTTGAAACAGTTACTGAATCCTGTACATCTTTATGACTAACCAACTGAACATTGCCATCTTCATAATAATCAACCTGAATCTTAAGCACTCCAACCACCTGGGCTGTAGGTGGTGTGATGGTGAACTTCCACTGTGAACTCCAGCGACCATTCCAGAAGCTTTTAGGCTGAAACTGGTGGCTTCAGTACATGCCATAATGGCCTGTTGTCCATATAGTTTTAGCATAAAGGACAGAAGCTGTTGGAATAACGATCTTTCACATAGGCTCATAAAGCACTGTCACAGGGCTCTCTCCAAGATTTCAGACCGCCATCTATTTCCTCTGGCTGGAGGTCACTTGCTTCTTTCCGTAAGCGATCAAATTTAAAGGAAATTTTGTTTCTTGGATCTAAAAATCTGTTCTTACCCAGGTCACCATGCTGTGTAATTAAGACCTGATCTTTGTAGCCTTCTGTCTTCACAGGTGTGAACTGATCCATGTTATACTGGGCATATGCATGTGCTGCCCCTTCCCTGAGAAGACTGTCATTATTAAGTAGTACCAGGACATCACTGACTACTTCATTAAATCACTCTGGGGGTGCATGAGTGATGAATTTAGCAGTTATGCGTACCTTTTCCTCATCCGACACCTGATCCTCAAAGTCAGCCATCTTGGGCTGCTCCGGCCTAGCCTGGCCTGATCCTCAAAGTCAGCCATCTTGGGCTGCTCTGGCCTAGCCTGGCCGTGGGTATGAGGCAGGCCAGGGATAGCTTCTAGCTTGTAAGCAGTCTTTTTGTCATTTGTTACTTTTTAAGGTACTGTCTTTTTTGAGATGATCTAATTTTAATTTGCTTATAGCCTGAAACTAGTAGATGAATTTATTTATTTAAATAGATACAACTGTATCTATTTATATTTATTTGTGATGTGTCTGTGTCTGTGTGTGTGAATTTTAGACAGTCTTTTGCTGTGTTGCCTTCTAAGTAGCTAGGATCACAAGCATGTACTCAGCTTTTTAGGGGGGATTGAGAATTGAACCTGGACTTCCCATTTGGCCTCATCCTACCAAACAGCTGAGTGCGCACTATTGAAGCTGGGGCTAAACAGTTGCGTTTATTAAAATAACATTCTTATTTTGTTTAATTTGACAGAGAGTGTGTGTACTCACCTGAGAGACAGAGAGGAAGCACCCCCGTCTCTCCATTGGGAATGATCGCACCGTAGTCTATTCTTTTCCATTTCTCCCTCCTTTTGGAATTTTGAGCACATACACATACACACACACACACACACACACACACACACACACACACACAAACACCCAGCATGTTTTTCAAGCTGCTGGGTCTAGGACTTGAGACGTATGGTCAGCCACTTGAAACCAGGTTGCCTTAAACACTAGCTCACAGGCTAACCTGAAGCACACTCTTATTTTTATGAACTTTTATAATGAGGTTAGTTTAAAGTATTGATGGTATTTACCTTTTTAATGTTGGTTTATGCATAGAAAAATAGTATGTACTTTGGATATATATTTATGCAGTATTATGTGAAAGTTCCTTTAATACCATCCCCTTTAAAGACAATCACTGTCAACTATTCATTGTTTCCTCAAATTATTTCCTGTGCTTAGATTAAGTCATTCATACATGTAGCAAACCTGTTTTATCATGTGCTGTGTGCTGTGCTAGATATTGGTAAACCACGTTCTTAATATAGTTAAGATATGTTTTTGTTCTGTGCTACTATTACTGAATTCATTGCCCTAGTTCTTTATTCTTTTTTAAAAATTCTGTTTTACTTATTTATTTTTTAATTTGACCAGAGAGAGATGGGGTCAGGGCAGGGGAGAGAAAGGGAAGGTGAGAAAGCAAGCTGTCAGGTCCAGAATTTGAACCACGGTCAGCCACATGGGAGTCCAGCACCTTAACCATCACGCCACCTGCCAGCCCCTTTAGTATAGGCATAACCATCACGCCACCTGCCAGCCCCTTGGGAGCCATTTTTTTTTAGTATAGGCACTCCTCACTTAATGACTGAGCCACATTCCTACAACTAGATCTTTAAGTCAATGGGTCCATAAGCAGGGTGCCTTAAAGCAGATGGCTTGTGGTATGTCATGGCACCATAGGGTGTGTATTTGTTCAGTAGATATCACAGGACAGCACGTTAGAATAATTCATTTTATCCATACGAAGAACATACATCATAGATAAGTGCCAGAAAGCGACAAGACACACCATAAAACAATAATAGCATATTATTTACATTTATTCTGAGTACTACTGTGGGTGTACAGTAAAGTATAAGTTTGTAGTTTGTGTGATTGCAAATGACTTATGTAGTGACTATTAACTGACTGTGGGAGCGAGAGACAAAGACTGAGAATTCCCAAGACTAACAAAGACTGAGAGAGGATTCCCTGGTTTGGAGAACTGGTCCTAAGTCCAAGAGTTCTTTAAAAAGGCAGTTATTAAGTGAGGAGTGACTCTATTTTCTTTTTTCAAAGAATTATTTTATTTAACTTCATTTATTTGTTCTAATTTGACCAGAGAGGGACAGTGTGAGAAAGAGAGAGAGAAAGTAAGTGAGAAGGCAAGTTTCCAGGTCCAGGACTCGAACCATGGTCGGCTATGTGGGAGTCCAGTACCCTCACCCTTCATGCCACCTGCCAGCCCCAGGAATGGCTGTATTTTCAAACATTTTACACTTATTTGAAATACATGGGTAAATCAAGGTATAAACCAACTGTTAACTGATTTTGGAGGCTTAAGTTTGAAAATAAAATTATATTGTAAACCTTTAACCTTGGCAGAAGATAAACATAAGGTCAATTATAAAACCTGTGTGATTGAGTAAATATACTTTTTAGAGCTAAAGATTAAAAAAAATTTTTTTTTGAGAGATTTTTGCTATAGGGTGCATGCACTCACCAGAGAGACAGAGAGAGACAGAGAAACAGAAAGGAGAAATCACACACACACACCCCTTGGGGGGCGGGGGAATGGCCATGCTGTAGCCCCTTCTCCTGCATTATTCTCTTGAGATTTTGGACAAGCACGCACACGTACCTGGCGTGAGTTTCAAGGCTCCAGGTCTGGGACTCAAACTGCATCAGCCATGTGGGAGTCCAGTGATACAACCATTTTGCCATCTGCTGGTCTCTTTCTCTCACTCTTTTTTTTAGAGCTAAAATTTAAGTTTAAATTTATGCAATATGTGTATATTTTAGGTAATAGTCGTCTGATAAGTACCTCTTCTTGGCGAGATGGACAAAAATTAGTAAAGAAGATCCTGGGACCTCCACCCAGGGTGGAGCAAAAAGAGCGAAGAACGGCATCAAGTGACAGAAGTGGAAAAGAACGAACTACTAAATCTGGTGAGTGGCTGTAATTAATATCGTTGAGAAAAACATTAAAAATTGCTTATGCAGTTGCTGAAAGAAGGTGAAACACTTGAGAATGCCTTACAATTCTGCATTATAATGATAAAAGTAGCTCAGAAAATAAAATGTTCCATTGGGCTCATGTATGGATAATCTCTACATATACACGTTATGTTTATCTTTCCTAAGAAGTCTATTTATGTTACATTAATTACATTTGATTGTCACTGTGAATATCAAAACATTAATTAAGTCACATTAGACATTTAGAGACCTTAGACAAAAATCAAGTTCGATCTGTATCATCTCAAAACATGTAAATAAACATGGATAAACATTCACAAGGTGGAATTTTAAAAATTTGACAGATTAAGAAATAGCCTCTGAGGGACGAGCAGTTAGCATAATGGC